CGTCCGAGTGCGCTTTTCCTTCCGTGCCGGCCGCGGGTCCTCGCAGAAGCTGGCGGCGGCGGGTGTGAGGGTCAGCGAGCGCCCCCACGACACCTCTGGGGGCTTTGGGTCCCTTGGGGATGGGGACCTCCCGCGCACCCCAGCTGGGGTGGGACACGGAAGACACATTGACATCTGGATTACTATGGGGGCCTGGAGGGGTCTCCCAGGTAACCCCGCCCGCTTCCTGTTACAGTCCCTCCCTCCCTTCTTTTCTTTCCACAGGGTCTCACTGTGTAGTCCAGGCTGGCCTGACACTCACAGCGATCTTCCTGCTTCAGCCTCCTGAGTGCTGGGATGACAGTCAAGGACCACCATTCCTGGCCTTCTGTCTCTCTCTCTCTCTGTCTCTCTCTCTCTCTGTGTCTCTCTCTCTCTCTCTCTCTCTCTCTCTCTCTCTCTCTCTCCTTTTTGGTACCAGGGATTGAACTCAGGACCCTATGCTGGTGAGGCCCGCTTGGTGCCACCGAGCTACACCCCCAGCCCTCTTAATTTTTGACACAGGGTCTTGCTAAGTGGCCTCAAATTTGCCACTCTCCTGCCTCAGCCTCCCAAGTACCTGGGAGAACAGTGTACAGGCCGTATCATTAGCTCTCATTAGCTCCATGACCCGGTGCAGGCCACCTCTGTCTGCATTTTCTCCTCTGCAAAGATAAGAGCGGCCAAAGCCTACACTTCCGGGGCCGCTGAGGGACTAGGACAGGGTGGGAGAGCAAGGTGCCCCAGTGCGGAGCTGGCAGAGCCAACATTACAATGTATCTGTGCAGCTCATCCTCCTTATCAGGAGCCTGCAGGACTTCCGAGCTGCCTGAAAGGGAAGGTCAAACCTCTCCTCACCCGCGCTTCTGGGCAGCCTCCCGCTCTGCCTCCCAGGAAGCTGCCTCCTCCCCCTGCTCCTGGCTCACCCACCCGGCCTAGGACTATTTTTCGTTCCTTTTGAGACAAGGTCTCCCATGTAGCTCAGGCCAGCCTTGTACTCATAGCGGTCTGTCTGCTTCCTGAGTGCGGAGAGTCCAGGCCCAAGTGCCACCTCACCCCTGGGGCCTGGGACTATGGGGGCAGGTGGAGAGCAATGTTGGCTGTGGTTCTGCCCGTATTTGGGGGGTATGGGTGGGGGGGTAGTTTAATTTAAGACCTTGCACTTGAAAGGTAGGCTGCAGCACCACTGCGTTAAATCTCCGGCCTCAGCACTTTTTTAAAATTTTGAGATAGGATCTTGCTGAACTGCCCAAGCTAGCCATGAACTTGCTGTCCTCCTGCCTCAGCCTCCCAAGTAATTAGGAGGACAGGCGTGCAGCACTGTGCCTGTGTTGTTGTGTAGTTCCTTTAAAAATGGCTGGACAATCAGAAGTATGCCAGGTAATCCCACGTCTTTTTTTTTTTTTTTTTTTGAGACAGGCTCTCACTCTATAGTTTGGGGTGGCTGTGAACTCACCATATAGCCCAGGCTGGCCTCGAACTTGTGGCAATTCTCCTGCCTCAGCCTCCTGAGTGCCTGGGCGACAGATGTGGGCCTGACTTCCAGGTCCTTCTTACCTTGAACAAAGAACAAGTGAAACACAGTGTCCAAAGTTTGCTTGAAAAGTGAGGGGTGGAGCGGTTAGGGAAAAAAAAAAAAAGTAGCTCTGTAGATTGAACTTGAGCTGAATGAAGAGGGGAAAGGATCAAGGCAAAAATAAAAACGCACCCCGTGTCTGGGAGTCACAGGGCGGGCTACCAGGGCGAGGTCACGACAGTGGGCTCCTGGTGGCCTCTCCTTGCTTTTACACCGCCTACATCGTAAGGGTGCCTGCGAGAAGTACGGGGTCCTGAGAATTCTCTGGCGCTGTCCCAGAATCTTGTAACTGGCAGGTCCTGTGTATTTCGCCAGCCAGCTTTGCCGTGGGCTACCTTCTGTATCAACTGGCTTTTAGATTTTTGAGGCAGGGCCTCACTATGTAGCCCAGGCTAGCCTTGAGCTTGCGACCATCCTCCTGCCTCCTGAATGCTGGGATGACAAAAATACACCAGTCTGCCCTGCTTGTATGTATGTACTTTTCAGTAAACCTTTTTTTTTGGGGGGGGGGGATGACGGTGTTTGAGACAGGGTCTCATTATGTAGCTGAGACTGACCTGGAACTCACTATGTAGCCCAGGCTGGTCTCGAACTCACAGCGATCCTCCTGCCTCAGCCTCCCGAGTGCTGGGATGACAGGCGTGTGCCACCATGCCCGGCTCAGTAAACCATTTTTTTATGTCTCTTATCCACAGAAAACCAGTTGGGTTTAGTACTGTTCAGTCATGGCCTCAGTCCCATCTCCAAGGCACTCTGGGATTTTCCCGGCCAAAGCCTGACAATGTCCTGTACGTCCTACCTTTTACATGATCCTGTGAAATCTACTTCTCTAGCAGTAACGCCTACCTGAATCAAAGTGTTTGCCTTCATTAAGCAAGGCCTGCCGATAAAGAAGGTAACTAGTCTTGTGAATTTGGCTTAACCAATATGACCGGAAGACTAAAGGGTGATTTCATTATTCTGAGTTGTAGTTGCAGTAATCAGCTGTGATGAAATTCCTGCCTCCTGTAGAAAGGCAGGCTGTAGTCCTGGCTGCTCGGGAGGCTGAGGCAAAAGGATCTCTTGAGCCCAGGTGTCTGACACCAGCCAGGGAAACACAGTGAGATCCTGTTTCGCAAAACAAAACAAAGCAAAAAACCCCCACCAAATTAATAAACACTAAAAACAAAGGAAGCTAGAGATTGGAGGTAACAGTTTAGTATGATTTCAAAGTGTCATTAAAAATTTAGCCCAGGGCCGGGGATTTAGCTTAGTGGTTCTGCCACCTGCCTCACAAACACAAGGTCCTGAGTTTGATCCCCAGTACCAAAAAAAAAAATTTTAGCCTAAAGCTGGGTGCGGTGGTGCACTCCTGTCATCCCATCACTCAGGAGGCTGAGGCAGGAAGATCTTAAGTTCAAGGCCAGCCTGGACTACACAGGGAGACCCTGTCTAAGGAACACATACACTCAATAAATAAAACACAACAGAAAAAGAAGAGAAAGCAGAGGCAGCACAGATGTGGGTGTCTGTTTCCTAGATATCAAAGTATCATGCACCATTTAGCTAAAAACACGGAAATGCACTGTCCCCCAATCCCGGGTCAGAGTCCAAACTCACATAACCAGCAGCACTCTGAAACCTGTCAGGATCCTTCCGGCCACGGCCTGGCTTCTGCTGCTGGCCACAGTCTGAGTTAGTCTCTGATCGATGACTGTTTTTCAGACAAGGCCTCCAAACTGGCCTCAAACTCCTGGGCTCCAGCGATCCTCCTGCCTCAGCCTGCTGAGAGGCTGGGATGACAGGTGTGTGTCACCAAGCCGGCAGCATTGCTTGGCTACAGACGTGTCGACCTCTGCCTCTGCTGTCACCTGCCTTTCTCCTGTGCCCGCGTCTCGTTTGGAGCTTGGTGCTCCTCGGTTCCCGGGTCCTGGAGCAGAGCTGGCTGCAAGGTCCCTGACCCAGGCTCTGCCGCTGCCACCCTCCCCGCTCCCTCCAGACCCTCAAGAACCGCTGGCTGCAGCAGTGTGGCCGCGAGTCGGCTAACCCGGGGATCCTCGTGCTCCTGGCCTGTGGCACCATCTCCAGCACCTGCGGCCAGATCGCCAGCTACCCCCTGGCTCTGGTCCGGACCCGAATGCAGGCCCAAAGTGAGAGCAGGCTGGGAGGATGAGGCAGGAAAGTCTCCCCACTTGAGGTCCACCTGCCCTTCCCCAAGCCCTTAGTGGTAGAGCCCTAGCCTGGGATCCTCCTGCATTTGGGAGGCCTCTGTGCCCCAGTTTACCCATGTTTGGTATCAGCAGAGGCATCCTTTGCCCTTAGGGAGCTGAGGGGGAACTAGGGGAACTGTCTGGGAAAAGCATGCTGGGAGTCTTATCCCGAGGCCCTGTTGGCCCTGGTGTGGCTTTTCCAGGAGAGTAACCTGAGCTCCAGTCTGCAAGGCTGGGCTGCAGTGTGCAGGAGGCTAGGAGCAGGTTAGGGAGAGTCAGGCCCCTGCCTGGCTATTGGGGTTTTTTTCTATATTTTTCTCATGGTTTCTTCTCTCCCTCGTCAGTCCACTCCCTTGTATAGTTTAACATCTGTGTTTCCTGACTCGGGAGTTATCAGTGGATAAGAGACCTGGTCCTCCCACACTGTCAGAAAAGAGTCAGAAAAATTCAAAAGTGGGCATGGTGCTCTCCCATAATTCTAGTTCTGAGGTAGGGAGGCTGAGGCAGGAGGATCACTGAGGGTTGGAGGCCAGTCTGGTCTGCATAGTGAGTTCAGGGTCAGCCTGAACTACACAGGCAGACCCTGTGTCAATAAAAAAAGGTGGCGGGGCTGGGCATGTAGCTCAGTGCTGCTGTGTCTGCCTCGTAAGGGAAGGTCCTGAGTTTGATTCCAGGACCAGGAAAGAAAAAAAAAAAAAAAGATGTAGAAAGGCTCAAAATAACCCATTCTTGGGTCGGGGATTTAGCTCAGTGGATCTGCTGCCCCTTAGCAGAGCACAAGGTCCTGAGTTCGATCCCCGGTACCAAAAATGAATAAATAAATAAGGCCTTTCCCAATGAAGTATCAATGTAGGAGTAAATGACGAAAATGTTACTGATTACTCTGGCTGAGGTTTTGTTCCTGCCAGGCTTGGCTGGTGCCTGTCTTCCCAGCCTTGGGGAGGCTGAGGCAGAAGGATTGCAGTGAGTTTGAGCTCAGCCTTGATTACCTAATGAGTTCAAGGCCAGCCTGAGCTCCCACTCACGTCTTTTCTAGCTTTTCGGACCGGGTGGGTCAGCAGTTGTTCTGTGCACGTGTCCTGGCTGTGACTTTGATAGTTTCCCACGGCAGACTGCCCAGTGTCCTGCTCTCGGTGACCGACACCTTACATCCTGGTCCAGCCAGCTTGCCAAGCCCGAGTCTTCTGCCTCAATCTTGCATCCCAAACATGAATGAGTACGTGTTACCGTCTCACTGTATGCTTTCCTGCGTCCAGGGGACCCCTCTGCCCCAAGGGAGCCGGCGGAATGTGTTTCTGGGAGATGAGTATCGCTGAGCTGGGCTCTGAGCTCTGTGCACCAGCTCTGTGACGCGGCCCTTGTCACAGTTCCGATCTAGAGGTCCCCCAGAAGGCTCATGTGCTCGGAGGCAGGGGTTTGGAAGGCGACTTGATGGTGGACATGCTCTCCTCAGGAGCCGAGTAATCCACAGATGAATCCGTAGTTGAGTGTGATGTTTGGAGACGGGGTCTGCTCGGGACAGTGGGGTCCTGAGGGGGACCTGGACGGGCGCATCTCCCTCCCTGGGTCCCTGCTTCCTGACGGTCAGCACGGAGCCGCTCCTCTCTGTCCAGGCTGGTCTTCGATGGCCTTCCTGCCTGGGAGCCGGCCGACTGTGGACTGAGTCCTCTAAAAGTCACGAGAGAAACTGTCCTGCTTTAAGCTGTGGGTGTCAGGATTTTGATCAGAGATGGCAAAGTGAGTAAGCAACCGCTGTGCACCAAATGTGGACATTTAGTAAGGAGCTCCATTCCGCATATCCTTTTCATCACAGAGGATGGATCTGTTTCTAATACCCTGCTGTTTGGAGTGTTTTATTTTTATTTTTGGGTTTTGTTTTTGAGACAGGGTCTCACTATATAGTTGAGACTGACCTGGAACTCACCATGTAGCTGTTCTCAAACTCATAGCCACCCTCCTGCCTCAGCCTCCCAAGTGCTGGGATGACAGGCGTGTGCCACCACACCCGGCAAAAATGTGAGGCATGGAGGTTGTTTTTTTTTTTTTGGCAGTACTGGGGATTGAACTCGGGACTCTGTGCTTGAGAGGCAGGTGGTGGCACCACTGAGCTAAATCCCCAGCCCCTTGTTTGGAGCTTTTCAAAAAAATTTTTTGGATAATCAGCCCTCAGGACCTGATAGAGTTCACCAGTCAAGGGCCCACTGTCCTTACACAGGGAGTGCTGAAAGACCGGTCTCTTAACCTTCATTAATTGTGCCTACGTCAAGTGGGGGACTCTGGTACAGGATATTTTCACCTATGCCAAAGTATTGGTGCTGATCGTGGTCATCGCTGCTGGCATTGTTAGGCTTGGCCAGGGAGCCTCCGCCGACTTGGAGAATTCCTTCGAGGGCTCATTGTATGTAGTGGGTGACATTGCCCTGGCCCTGTACTCAGCAGTCTTCTCCTACTCAGGCCGGAACACCCTCAACTGTGTCACCGAAGAAATCAAGAATCCTAAGAGGGCCGGGCGTGGTGGCGCACACCTGTCATCCCAGCACTGGGGAGGCTGAGGCAGGAGAATCTCTGTGAGTTCGAGACCAGCCTGAGCTACATAGTGAGTTCTGGGTCAGTCTCAACTATACAGTAAAACCCTGTCTCGAAAAAACTAAAAATACAAACCAAAAAAAGAATCCTGAGAGGAATGTGCCCCTCTCCACTGGCATTTCCATGCCTCTTGTGACCATCATCTACATCTTGACCAATGTGGCCTACGACACTCTGCTAGGAGGACATCTTGGCCGGTGATGCTGTTGCTGTGACATTTGCAGGCCAGATTTTTGGAGTATTCACCTGGATAATTCCACTGGCAGCTGCATTATCGTGCTTTGGTGGCCTCATTGCCTTCACCCTGGCAGCTTCTAGGCTTTTCTTCGTGGCTCAAGGGAGGGGCACCTCCCTCATGCTACCTGCATGATTCACGAGGAGCGGCTCCCACCTGTGCCTTCCTTGCTCTTCAGTGGTATCATGGCGCTGATCTACTCGTGTGTAGAAGACGTCTTCCAGCTTAGTAACTACTACAGTTTCAGCTACTGGTTCTTTGTGGGGCTTTCTATTGCTGGTCAGCATTTTTTTTTTTTTTGGCTGATCAAGGGTCACTTTATTGTTTTGTTTTGTTTGTTGGTCAGTTAGTTTTTTGAGACAGGGTCTCACTATGTAGTTGAGACTGACCTGGAACTCACTATGGAGCCCAGGCTGGTCTCAAACTCACAGCGATCCTCCTGCCTCAGCCTCCCGAGTGCTGGGATGACAGTCGTGTGCCACCACGCTTGGCCAGCAGAGGCTTTTTGTTTCCTACTGGCGAGAGCTAAGGAAGCACAACAGGAGCGTTCACTTCTTTGGAGGCGCCTGTCCTGATGCTTGGTCTAGGCAGCTTCATCTTTGAACTTGCTTTTTAAAGATGGAAAATAATTTATTTGTTTTGCTACATATCATTCCAGACTCTAAAGGGATGCTAAAGCAGACTGTGGTGGGGAGCACAGCACCTCTGGGGCTGCCTACATACTCCTCTTTCTTGGGCCAACCATGCCCCAAATGTGTCTCGTTTAGAGACGTGAACCTGTCACAGATGCTGGACAATAAAAGGGTTATGTTCCGAAAAAAAAAATTTTTTTTGTACCAGGGATCCCACTCAGGACCTTGCGGTTGCAGGAGGCAGAACCGCTGAAGCAAACCCCCAGCCCCTGTTTGGAGCTTTAATCCCTTTGCCAGGAGTCCCCCAGGTATAGCAGCTGAACCCCATCAATCTGGACAAATTTGGGAGCCCGGTGGTGAAGCACATGCTTAGCATACACAAGGCCCTGGGTCCCATCTGAGTAACAAACAAAACAAAAATCTAGACAAACTTACCAGAAGGGCTGAAAATAGTGAGAAGCTGCTGTGTGCAGTGGTGCACACTTGTAAACCTAGAACTTGGGAGGCTGAGGCAGGAGGATCACTGCCAGTTCCAGGGCAACCTGGGCTGCGTCATGAATTTAAGACCAGACTGTGCTACATAGAGAAACCCTGTCTCAAACAAACAACAAAACCAACCCTCCAGTAAACAAACACACAAAAGAGCTGTCAGCATATCCTACCTCCCACCTGTACTGGAAAGCCCTTTGCTTGCATATGCAGTGTACCCGTGTCCATAGGACGAATGTTCCAAGACTATTTCTGGATGCTTAAAATTGTCCCAGCACAGCTCCAGGCCCTGGAATTCCATCTGTTTTCCACTTTCCCTAAGCACTTCCATGCACTGTGGACCTAACTCAGTCTGAGGTGTGACAGAAAAATTGGCATGAATTTCTTTTTCTTTTTTTCACAACTCCATGGATAGAAGATTTGGTCTTACTGTAGATCTTAGAAGCACTTTATAGCTTTTCTTTGACATGTCAAATCGCCAGTCTTTTAATTTTTTTTGGGGGGGGGAGTGCTGAGGATTGAACACAGGGCCTTTTTAGTCGTCGTTATTATTATTATTAATTATTATAATTATTAATCATTGTGATATCTGTTTGTTATTTTGAGACAGGGTTCTGCTCGGTTGCCTGGGCTGGGCTCAACCTTTTGATCCTCCTGCCTCAGCCTCCCAGAGTGCTGGGATTACAGACGTGCGCCCCCCCACCCTGAGCTGAGGAAGGACATTTTCGTGAGACAGGACATTCTACCTTGATGGTTTTGTATGAAGATAGCACTTACTGTAGAAGGAGTATATTGGCTGTGGTCCTGAAACCATCACTGGGACAACGCTCTACCCTTCTTACTACCGGCTAGTGTGGGTTGTTAGACGAGGGACTGGGGAGTTCCCATGCGGTCCCCAAGAAAGTGCAGGTGGACTCGATACTCCTTCCTCCTGCAAGGCATCAGAGGTGAGGTCGGCTTCATCGGGGAACCAAAGAGCAAAGGAGGCCCCTCCAGGGTGCGGCGCTGTGCTAAGTGCTTGCCTAGCACACCCCCCCCGTTCCCCTTTTTTAAATACCAGGTTCATCTACTTCCTTGAAATGGGCAGAAAGCCTGAGAGAGTGGCTATTGTATGTGTCAGGCCTCGGTGTGTGAGGGACACGCAAGAGAAAGTTTGGTGTGGGGTGCACACACTCACAATCCCAGCACTCTGGGAGGCTGAGGCAGGAGGATCGCAAGTTCAAGTCCAGCCTGGGCAACTTAGTGACTCAGTGAAACCCTTTCTCAAAATGGGGGCTGGGGTAAGGTTGGGGATGTAGCTCAGTGCAAAGGCCCTGGGTTCAATCCCCAGACCAGAACAGCAACAATGAGAAAAATAAAAGGGAGAGAGAATTTGTGGAGACCAAAAACATCCTGGTGGCATTCTCGTCCTTCCTGAGATCCCTGAACCCTGGGAAAGTCCGTGACCTCTCAGAGGTGTGGCCGAGGCATTTCCACCCTGTGTGTCTTCCTCGGCTGTTGACATGCATCCCAGCCCCCCAGTCCACCCCGGGGAGCAGGGAGGCAGGGGCACTTGCTTTCTTTTTATTAATAACAACAGTAATAATGGGGACAAAAAATAACAACAGTGATATTTCTGCCTGGGGCTGTAGCTCAGTGGCAGAGCGTGTTCCCAGCCTGCTCAGAAACAAAACATCCTACGGCTTTATGTTTATCAGTTAACTTTTATGTTTGTTTGTTTGTTTGTTTTGAGACAGGGTCTCACTATGTAGTTGAGACTGACCTGGAACTCACTATGGAGCCCAGGCTGGTCTCGAACTCCCAGCGATCCTCCTGCCTCAGCCTCCTGAGTGCTGGGATGACAGGTGTGCGCCACCAAGCGCAGTTTATCAGTTAAGGTTTTAACTGACCAGTCACAATCACACAAAGCAGGTGCTACTGTGTCCCCATTTGACAGGAGAGGAAACAGGCCCGAGGGGGTCGAGTGTGGCATCCTAGTTCGAGGCTGGGGATACAGCTGAGAGAAGCCAGGTGTCCAGGGCCAAAGCTCTTTACCGCTACAGGGTGCTGTAGGGACTCTGTTACTTGGTCTTTAAAAAAGAAGAAAAAGCTGGCAGTCAAATGGATTGTCTCTCAGGGAGAAAATGTTGCTAGCATCAAAGCAGCCATGTGACCACCACGTGTCCCCGCAGCCTGGGCTTCCTTGTGGGTTACATGTGTGCCCCCCATGGGGCTGGCTGCGATGTGTGCATGCATGTGTGTGTGTGTGCATGTGTGTCCACACGCGTGTGTGCACGTGGAATCAGCTCCCAAGCCTTGGCATCTACGCCCTTTGTACCAGGGTGTGGATCACCGGTTCTGCCCCAGAGGTGGCGCCTGTCCGCTCTGCCTGGTTCCTCCCTTCCACCTCCACACCCAGACCTTAGCCGGAGTCCTCAGCTGGGCCTGATCTCCTTCAGCGCTGAGTGTGGACACAGCCTCCAGCTGCGGGAGGAAGAGACAGAGGGGTCTGGGAGTGACCGTTCCGGGGCAGGGCTGCTCAATGAGCCTTCAGAGAGCGGCAACAAAAATCCAACTCCCGGGCACACACAGGCTCTGTGTGAGCTGCGCCTGGCACCGCCGGCACCCGGGACGGGGTGAGGGGTGGCAGCTGGGAAAGGGGACAATGGAGTGTTCTCGCCTGGTGGGTGTGTGGCCAACATTCACCACGAGACACACTGTCCCGAAGGAGGTGTGCTCAGAATAGGAGGATTTCCCGGGCGACGCCTGAGGAGGAGCGAGCTGGGTGGCGTGGGGCGGGTGTCTCCTGCGCTCACCCCACTTGCATGGCGTGGGGGGCGCAGGGGTTGTCGCTGATGTAGCCGCTCATGCGGTTGAAGTCAGCAGGGTCCTCGGGCGCATGGCCAGGAAGTGGGGTCCCAGGTGTCTGTGATCACCTGGGCAGTGCTGGTCAGGGAGCAGCTGGCCGTGCCCCCGTAGGTGAGGGTGCCCGGTGCTGGTCCATCACAACCTCATGGCTGTTAATGACAGGCGGTGAGCTGGGCTGCAGGTGCTGGACACGAGTGGCTTCTCTCCCAGGCTGATCTGCAGGGCCACATGGGCTGGGGTGCAGTACACCTCACTGCTGGGGGCTGAGGAGACAAAAAGGGTAGGAAATAACTAACATTTGTGTCTTGGATAGGTTGCTTTTCCCTTCTTATGTGGAAAAAGTTTGA